ATACAAATAAAAACATACAATAACTGAAAGTAAATTAAAATAAAATAAGAGAAAGTCAAGGCAATTATCTAAGTAACTGGATACACTGCACTGGTTACCATTTACACTTTAGGATGGTACAACTTGTCTATAAAGGCACAGGTGGCATACTAAGAGACTGAGCGAGCATGGGGGTCACTCTTAGACTGAGAAAGATGGTCCAAAAACGGCTGCCAGGTACTACAGAACTTATTAGTGGAGCCCACAACACCATACCGCAGTTTCTGCAAATGAAGAATCTCAGTAAAATCACTTAAACACATTTTAAACTGAAGAATCTTGTCAGTTTTCCACAATCTTAATATTACTTTCTTAGCTATTACCATTCCATAGGTTTGTCTATCTTTAAAACTGCTCAAAACAGTCTGCTCAAGTCAGAAGCGAGTTTTTGTTTTTTTCTTCTGCTGTGTCCGTCCGAGCGCTTTCAGTTCAGACCAGTCACACATTTCTGTCGACAAGGGAGGGGGGTCAAAAAGTTCTGCCGGGGGCATGTGCCAAAAGGGGCTGTCGACACAACGTTGCGAAGCCCGGTGACGTAATTTTCGTCATTAAACTGCGACAAACCGTGCCGACGTCGGCGGTTCGCAGGGAGTATGTTTCCAGCTTTAATCCTAACCCATGCAGCGAGGAGCTTTATATTTGTTAAAAAACCATCTGGAAAGACACATCCTGTGGTCACTGAAAGGATGTTAATCTGTTTGAGAAGGGTCAAATTATTTGCATCAAGCAGAAAAAACATCTCAGCAGATTGTTGAAACTACTAAAATYGATTAAGAACCGTGTAAGGAGAAAGTGATGTGGTCTGAGTCCAGATTCAGTGTTCTGGAGTGATGGGAGCATCAGGGTCAGAGGAGATGCAGCTGAAGTGATGCACTCATCAGTTGGTCTGTTCTAATTCAGTAATGTTATGTTCTCAATGAGTGACAGTAACCGACAATACTGAATGACTGACCAGGTTATTCAATCTGCGGTTACTCTCATGAGACATCGTTTTCACACATGAATTAGTCATGAAAGAGTCCAGTCCTGAAGCCCATTGAGAATCTTGGGGATGTGCTGGAGAAGACTTTTTGTAGTGGTTGGAATCTCCCATAATCATTACAAGATCTTGAAACGATGCAACAGCGAATGAGTCATCAAAGATTAGAGCGATCCAGCAAAACATCAGTGGACAGCCTTTTTATTTCTTTTTATTTCCAGGCAGTGTTTTATCCCAGTTGGTGTAGAGGTCTGTGCCATGTTTGGTGCCTTCGTTACATTCTACCTCATCGTGTGTTTTACAGAAAAGAAAAAGACAGAACTTTGCCAGGAGCTGAGTCTTCAGGCCAGAGACCTTCGCTTCCAGCACAGCACCAGCCTCACTACGAGAAACAACTGCATCATCATTCGAATGGCCGTATGTTGGCTTTTTTTAAATTCAWGAATGAGGAACATYAGGCCTTTTTTTTATCAGAAAAAAGTGCAATCGAAGTTATTTAGAGTACACATTGATGGTTTTATTCACATTCATCTAAGCACTAGTTCTGTAAAAACACCTTGTTTCACCAGTGCAGCATTTCATTAAAGGGATCCATGATTAATTGGAACATTAGACTTTATTTGATAAACATACGTTTTAACTGTAAAAATACTGTAGGCTGTTCAATTTTGTAAATTTTTAAAAAAATTTTTTAACACGGACAGGGCCATTTTATTTACACACAAAGCATTCTGGGACAACAGAGCTGCTTCATGGAAGAAGAACCTCAGCTTAGCCTGTTAGCTTTAGCGCCGACGCTATATTGCCTTTTATGTATTAGCTCGGCACTAGCGTGACAAACGAGCTAAACTGAGG